TCCTTCCTAGAAATATTGCCTTTTATTCTATATTTTTAAAAAATTTATTTATATATTTGTTTTATTTTAAGCACTGTTAATAATTATATTTGGTTTTATATTAGGGACTTTTCTCAGAAAAATTCCCATTAGTAACAAAATAATTTTCTGTTAAATCGTGTACTGATGGAACATATTCAGCAAAGTAATTAAGATTCTTCATCTTCTAATGTTTCAATTATTTAGACAGAGGTCTAAGGCCCAGCTTTCATTCTAGTGGAGAATGATGATTAAATCTAGAAGTATCAACTGCAGAAACAGAACTGACAACAACATTAAGATGACCAATAATTCATCATACTGGATGTACTGTATCCACTTGAAGCCTCTCTCTTTATTCATATTTTTCCTTAAAGATGTCACTGAAAGTCTTCAGAAATAAGAAATTTACTATACTCAAACTTGTCAGACAAGGCTGTGATAACTGCATGACAGCTATAAATAAGGAGTCTCAGCATATCAACCCAAGAAACTCAGAGCCTGCACTGCATTTACTCAAGTCATGCAATAAGACCTTACTGACACACATGCAAATTGAAATTAATTGAAATCAACTCTCTAGTGTAGCTCAGGACAAGTTTTTCCCTCAAAATATTTCAAAGAGCTATAGTTAAAACACAAAAGCCTGCTAAGCTGGAAAATGAACTGTAACAGAGCAAGACTTATAAAATATTTTACATAACCTGATGCAATTTTGAAACATCATTTTGTATGCAATAATTTTTATTTATAGAAAAAAAAAAGTTTTATACAAAGGAGACCATAATGGAATAGTTTCCAAATTGTCACAACAGGTAAAAGCTGAAAGTGTAAGCATAAAATAAACGTTTTAGATATTATATCTGACAAATTTAAAGTGAGGTGTCCTCTCCTAGCATTTCACTTCAGTAATCAGAGCATAGGGAACACCACAATTTCACAGCAGAGAAGTAGCCCACTGGAGGACCCCTCTCAACCGCAGGAGTGTTCTCCGGTGCAGAAGGCAACATGTCAGTGGTGAAACACACCACCAGCTGCTCAGCCAAGAATCACAGGAGATTCTCCACGCTGTTGATTTTCCAACTGAGGATTTGGTTCTCCAAAATCATTATAGCCTGATTTGGGAAACTTGCATCCTCTTTAAATTGCAGCTACTGTTATTATTTATGATTTGGACATTTCTGATGATTAAAGTTGGTCACTTTTCATGTATTGGCCTAGCTCAATGAATACTTAAAGCAATTTTTAGAGTAAAGACAGCATCATGGATTATTTTGAGTCATCTTTTTGCAGCAGTCTTTCACAGTATAAAAAACCAGAACAACCTTCCCACATCTATCAAATTCATGACTGAAAATTATCCATTTGAAGCGACAGAAGTAGATGAATGCTTTGTCAAAATCTTTCCTGATTTACTGCTACTCTGGTTTACATTGTCAAATGTTCCTCTGGGACAAGCAAAGACTATGTGAGACATCAGTCAGGAAAGATTTTGGCTCTCTGTTTTGTTTTTGAAGGAAGCAACAATAAAACATTTTTAATGGGGGAAAAAAAAAAGAAAAAGATGAAAGGCACAGATGAAAGCTTAGTGTGACATCTGCGCAGAGCCTCGGCAACAACCACTCGGCTTCCTCAGTCCTGTTCAACTCCACAGCGAGTCATTATAGTCCATCACATCCCAGCATTCGAGACATCATAACAGACCACTAAAATGGTCCGTTCAATCCTTTCTACAGAGGATATCCAAAAGACAGCACCCATCTTTCACACTCAGTTACATTATTGGAGGGATTATGAGAAATACGACTTGTAGGGAGTTTACCAGCAAACTGAAAAAAACAGCTTCATCAGCTTCAACATTTTTTAATGTCAAAGGAGCCAAAACAAAAATAAATCAGACAAGCAGTGTTTGGAAAAACAATGTACTGATAAACATTTTCCTTAGCGCTAACTTATAAATCGTAAAGCAGCTAAAAAATTCAGGCCAGTTGCTATTTCCTTTTTTTGTTGCTGTTTATTCTCAGAAATCTTTCACCTTTTAAAATTATCTTTTCAACTCTAAGTAGGTTCACTTATATACATACACAGTGGTGTGTTTTTTCGTTATAGTAACAAACACTGATAATTTTGGCATTTGCAGACCTTTTTATGTTGGACTCCACAATGTTAATCCTCCTCAAATATGATTTTTGCCATGGAATTTCCTCTGTTCCAAAGAGGACACACACACAGACCCATCTCTATGTTCAGTAACTTACTTAGCTGCAGATGAATACTTGATTCTTTTATTTCAATTAATGGCATGATCATGCTTCACTCCATTCTTACCTTGATATATGATCACAGGGCTGCTTTACCTCTTCCTTTTCACGCTTGCACCCAATTTTGAAAAACAGATATCATTCCTAGATTTCTAAACATTCATGAACAATTTCATTCTACTATGAAGAATTAAAATATTTAAAACTAGACACATGCACAACTATGTTATTTATGTCCTTTGTCAAGGCTTCACCAGATTATATCATATTCAATAAATTACAAAAAGGCATAGCTTGATTGTTTATTATTTTTTAATGAATTATTTTTTTAAAAATGAGGTAGTTTTTAACAGAGTGAGGAAAAAAAGGTCACGTTTAGGTTCTTTATTAAACTTTCCCAGCAGTATTTGCAACGTGCTTTTTAATCCATTGGAATCCAATTTCATTTTCCTTTTAGTTAGAAGTTTAAAAGTTTAAAAAGGTTATTATTTTAGTCAGAATATTTCAATCTATAATGAGAAATCGGAGCACCTGCAACATCTTTGCTCTTTGGCAAATAAACATATGTAAAATTGTTTAAATTAAATAAGTGAACTCAGTCCTAGCAAAACATGTCACAGTTCTAGAGAATAACTGCATGATTAAAAGAACACTAAAATCATTGGAAAGAATCTCATAAACTACCAAGAGGTATGGATTCAAGTTTCTCTCCTTTGTGCGTGGAACTACATAGACAGCTGAAAAGCCTGTAGCTTTGACTGAAAGTATTGTTTCTAGCATGCAAAACAGGCCTTTCTATTTCCTTGGCCAACATCAGTCTGTGCTTTAGGGTACATTTAAAAGATTAAGTAAGAGACCCAGTGAGCCCTTTCCTGGACCCAAAGCCAAACAGCACGGACTTTGTAGGGCAGGTTCCCTCCACGGCACACAGGCTGAATCCTCCCTACCCTCCACTGGGCTCTGGGTCTCCCTGGTGCTCTGTGTGCTATGTGCTGGGGTTGGAACATTTGATTCTCTGTGCCTTTTTGAGCCCATAGCTTCAGAAATACTGCAATGGTTATGTTATAATCCACAAATGGTGGACAGATTAAAAATGTCTTGAAGGTCAGTGTTACCTGCCTCAGATGGTTCACATGAGGATGTAAATATGGGCAGAGCAGTGTTGTAGGAAAGAGCATGTCAAAGCTGGGGCACTTCTGCCCATCTTGTCTTTTAGGGGTGGTTCCTGGAACAAATGATTCTCAAATTGTATTCTAGTGCTATCTTGGAGAAAGCAGTCCAAAACAGGGTCATAGTTGCAAATTATGGCAGACATGGTCTTGCTCCTCAGCCCTCTTTCACTGAGTATTATTGATAGATCCATGGTAGCTATAAATTGACAGTAGCTAGTACCTCCTTTTCTGAATTCCAGCTGTGTTCACGGCCAGTTCACTCCTCTTTCTTTAGAGCTGGAAAAAAGTGAGTCTAAAATAGTAGGTTTATTCTTAAAATCTAAGATGTGTTGAATTAAATGTAAGATATGGTTTTGTTGATTTAAATGAACCATTTGACAACTCAGTGTACAAATACTGAAGGTCAAAGCTGACAAAGAGTTATGTTACTTCTTTGTGCTTCTTTTCAACAAAATCTCTTTGTTTTGACACCATTTTTTTCAAAAACTGGAGTGTGAGAAACCTGAAAGTCTGTAAATTAAGAAAAAAAATAATTATCTGTTTTCTAAGGGAGCAGTCCAAGTCCCACATGGCTAATAATGAAGCACTTAGCACAGCAGACAGTTGAATCATTATCTCACAAAAATAATGTTCTAATGGTGTTATTTACTACACACATAAATTACTAGAGAAAAAAAAAGGTCTCCAAATTATTGTCATTTCATAAGGAAGAATTTTAAGTTCAGAACTAAAATCCTGAGATGTAAATCTACTCTCTAGACCTCTGTAATCCAAACCACAATGATGATCATCACAAGTACTCTGAATTCAGATAAAATTTATAATCATCACTTGGTTGTATGACACATTGGGGGGCCGATTAGCTCAGTCGGTTAGAGCGTGGTGCTGATAACACCAGGGTCGCGGGTTCAATTCCCGCTCAGTCCCCATGTGTTGCCTGATCTATTTGAGAGGCATCCCTGCCCATGACAGGGAGGTTGGATTAAATGATCTCTAAAGTCCCTTCCAGCCTAGACCATTCTAGGATTCTATGATTACTCTCAGAAGATTTGTAATATTGACCAACTCCAGACTTGAAATCAAATTCTAATGCAGATCAAATGTATACACGGACTGGCTATTTACAGGTTCAAAGTTATATATATATATCTGTAAGCAATCTTTTGATTCTGATGAGTAAGAGGGACCAAATTAACACAAAACAAAATAGATGTCTTTTGTATTCACATCAATGTCATTTTAATGGGTTCGGCTTTTCAGCCTGCTCTACACAGCTATTTAGGAAGTTCATTAATAATTAGCAGACTTGATAACTTCTAACTGTGGGAGAAAGACACCATAATGTGGGAAGAAACAGAGCTGGAGGATGGCCATCTGTTTAATGTCCATATAATTAGGAGTGTTGGACAGATTAGTATCTGCTTGATTTATTCCTGCTTTTGAAGTCTTCAAGTAAATTATAGTTAATGTAGACCAGTTTTGACAGTGAAAAATATATTTCCTTTCAAAAATATGAAGCAATAATGTAGTGTTGTAATGCTGGAGTGCTGAATGAAAGTAGTAACAATTTTGGAAAACCTAGTATTGAGGGCCAAACCTCCCAATAGTAGAGAATTAAACTGGTGCCTTTTAAACTTCTATATAATTCTAATGTTATTCTGGCTTCTTACATTTCTTCTTTTATACAGAAAAAAAAAACAGAAATAAACTATTATGTTCTAGCCTTGACATCATTATTCTAATTCACATTGTCTTCAGTGTGCTGGATTTCACTAAAAGTTTCCTTTTAATCTCACATTCTTACTTATCTACAGGATGTGGACTGGAAAAGATAGAAGACCACTCCCTTTTCTCTTGATTGCCAGTCAACATGTAGTTGAGAAATGTTGTAAACTAGGAAAGTTGCATAAAGTTTCAGTGACTTAGAAGACAAAAGGACATTTTGCCTTCAGCAAGGATTTCACCTGACTTTTTCTTTTCTTGAGGTAAGCATATTAGATTCTCATGATGCACCAAATTTTACAAACACGTGTACACAAGAATGAAACCTGTTTCTTAGCACCACCTTCTAGCAGCTGCCTAGGGCCCTAGAGGACACTGTACTCCTCCCTGTTAGTCAGTCCTCCTGTGGAAGGCAACCATCTGCCAGACGTACTCCTGGCCACCTGCTGCCCCAGCCAGCTGTTTCCAATTGTGCTCTCCAGCTGCCACCTCTGAAAGTAGCCGAAAGGCAAAAATGCTCAAGCAAGTGGGAAACCAACTGGCAGGCTGCCAGAGGCAGAGGGTTGGGTTAAAACTCTAGCGCAAAAGCTGACAGCAAAAAACCTGGGTGGGAAACACAGTGGCAAGGAGATAAACAGAGACTTTCAGAGCCCCAAAGGGGCTCAGGCAGGTGTCTTTCCCCTCCAGCAACTTTTCTGCTTTGCTAGAACCAGTTTAGTAACTTCTTCCCATAGCTCCAAGGAATGGGAAAACTTCCTCCAGCCTTTTCCCCTTCCAGGATCTCAGATAGGAAAAGACAAGAATTTCTAGAAGATAGGGGGACAGGGTAAACATTCCCCATGCCTCATGGACATTACGAATTCTTGAAATAAGACTAAAATGAAATTTAAGCAGTGCATGGGTCCTGTGCCAGCACTGTATGCATGACCAATTTTTAGTCTCCTTGAGGAGTGCATTCAGAAGTACCAATGAGGAGCTGAAACACTGACAAATGTAGATGGCCAAAATTCCTCAAGATTTTAGAGGGGAGAAGTCACATATAATAAGACAAAACCGAACAAACACAGGGTGTAAGATCAGCTACATTTTCATTCTGAACAGCAGAACTAATGAGATAAATGTGCAGCAGATACAAGCAAAAAACAGACTGAAGCTACTCTTATTTATATCTAAAGATAATTCCTCCCATGAATGAATATTCTATCTCATCTTTCCACCTTTGCCAATTACTTGCCTATAATTTTTTTAATAAACTCTTCAAACTTATCTCTGCTTGATGGAAATTAGTTGACAACTTACTTTCCAACATTAATATTTTAGAACATGACGAGCTCGTGTATCATTGTTGGGCAACTGCTTATCTCTGGTGTGCGGGGAAATTGGGTCAATGTTAAGCAACTGAGATATTATTCTAAATTCTATTTGTTATTAAAATAATTTAGTGCTGACAGTCACCAGCATTTCTGGAAACTAGTGTCTAGATTTACGGTATTTTGCAAAACATGGACGTTACAATCAGCTGACTTTTCCCCTGTGGTTCTGAAATGGTATCACCAATTTTCTGAATTACATTAGAGTCTTCTTTTCCAAATTTTGTTTTGAATGTGTACACTGTGCACAATGTTGCATTATTTAATAGAAGAATGGTAATGTCATTCATTACAATTAAAAACAAATATAATGTTGTTACTAAAGTTTGTTTTTACCAGTCCTTACTTCTTGTTTGCTAATTTGCAATGAAACAGAATAAACCACTTGAGAATAAAATGTTTCCTAACTCTATTTCTTAAAAGAATTTATGTGAGTGTACATGCACACGTGTTACTCCCTTTATTAAATCATTGAACTTATTTTTAAAATCTATTTAGGAGTAGGTGGAAAAAATCCTCTGTTTTCCCTTACTTTTATAAGGACTGAAATTTAATTAGTGAGGTAAAGGAAAGCCTTCATTATGTATTTAAAGATTTATTAAAAAACAAAAAGAAACTAGCAAACTATGAATTACTGTTAGATTTTGTAAATAAAATTTATGACTTGGGAAATTGCTTTTGAAAATACTGGAGCAAGAATATGAATAATTAAGCAATATATAAAATAAATGTATTTTGCTACACTGTATTGTACAGTGCCAGATAACAACACCTATTACTCAGGATGGAATATCCATTTTATATTACACAAGATTATAATATTAGAAAGCTTGAGCAAAATTTTGGGGAAAAAAAACCCCAGGGTTCTACACAGGTCTACACTGCAAAGTAAAGAGGAAGAAGATACTTTGTCATTTTTCTTCTGAGAAGAATAGTGAAGTTAAAGAAAACACAGGAAAATTGATGATGTTTCCACTGTCCATTGAATGCTAGAAATCATTTCTAATTGAACAGGAAAACTACCAACTCTCTGATAACATTTAAGGACTCTAGACTGGACATTTTCTATCCAGTATGACTAAGTTTAATATAAAACCACAGAAATCATCTCAGGCATATTCCAGGCACTGTCAGAAAAATGGCTCACTAAATGTGGTTACTCTTCATTTGACAGATATACTCATTAGGCATGTTATTGTTATCCTACTCATTTCAGTGAAACAAACACATTCATATTCCTCTTTTATTCCACCTAACATTTCCAGAGATCATGAAAGTCTCAATCTATGCTCTTTCTAACCTCACACTTTATCAACCAAATGATTACGTTTCAAATTGTTATCTTTTCTTTGCAGGGGGTAAAGCTTTTGCTTTAAGGGATCTGAACCAGTTGAACTGTAAATAAGAGCTCAGGACATCCATCATAACTTAACATGAAAAATCCCCACCTCACAACAGTTTGATTTTCAGATCACAGGGTAGTTGCTCAGATGGCAGAAAGCCACATTCCTATTCAGAAGCAACAGCACAGCAAACAGATTAACCACTACATGCACTAAGACGGAGGTCCTTATATTGTAGAGGTAGATAGTGAATAGCAGTTACTGCCAGGACTGGCACATCTCTATAATTACAAAAAGAAACTATTGGAAACTCTACCATCACAAGTCAGGCTAATAAGCAAAGAAGCAAAAGAGGTATTTTGACACATAAGAAGCCTGACAACTTCAGGAGAGGTCAGAGAAATCACAAAGGTGGGATGTTTTACAAGTAAAGCAATGTTACTTGGAGCTTGCAGATTTTGAGGAAGGCTATTTTTAGCTCAAACCAACAAATGTAGAAAAATACAAATGGTATTTTAAGTGAATAGGACTTCCCCCCTCTCCCTCCCACCAGTGGCAGGATAAAGGCAGAGATAAATAGGTCTTCTCTACAATTTACCCATGCCCAGTGTTGAAAGAAATAAAGAAGGAGCAAATAACTAGGTTTTCTGTTAATTTTAAACACAAAGACAGCTTGCCACACATAGAATCATCGATAAATTCCACTGTAAGAGAAAACAACTATGGTAGTAATGGCAAATGATCTTACCAGTAAAGTTGATGGGCTACTTGGATGCTCTGAAGAGAACGATTCAGCGGGAGTTTCACTAGAGGGCTTTCAAGACTCCACTCAAATTTGAGCACCTTAACAGATAAATTAATAATAAGAAACACTTGTACGCTGGCTTTGTGGTCTTTCCTTTATAACAAAACTAATCAGAAAGGACCCAGTCGTTAGTCTGAATGAAGCAATCTGACAGACAATGCCCTGGCAATGCAATGAGCAAAGAAATTTCAGAACATGTGTCTGCCTCCATCTTCAAGACAGGCAGATATCCTGATTCTGGTTGTATTAATGTATATGCAAAAATGTAGCTTTTCTTCCCCTACTTAAAATCATCAATGCTATCCTTAAATTTTTATCTGATTACCTGGTTTGCAAAATAAACTTATGTGAGAAGCAGAAGCTGTGGAACGTGAAAGGTCACATGTGCATCCTATTCTGTAAGTGCTGTATGTAGAGTTGTGCAGATTCCACTGCTGTAATTAAATAGAGTTGTGCAGATTCCACTGTATGTAATGGGTTACATACATATATTTGTACAAGTGTACATATATATCTGTCTAGATATGTATACATATGTGCATGCATTTATACAAATATATATATTTAACAACACACCAAAAAAACCTCTAAGGAACTGTAGAAGATAGGATAGTAAGCAACCCATGTGGACAGTGTTGTAAAGCTTTCAGAACGTGCTCCTTAACTGCAACACAGGACCTAATCAAC